TCGTGTAGTGAACAAGGCGACGTATTGTTATCGACGGCATTAATTAAAGTTATAGGTAAGAATGGTTGTCCATATATTGCTCGTGCTATTCTTGATAGTGGCAGTAACGCTTGTTTAATAACTGAAGAGTTATATCAAAGGCTAGGTTTGCCCGCTCAAAATGTAAATCAGTCGGTAGTCGGTATTAATAATGCTTCGGCACACATCAAGAAGATTTGTAAGGTATCGATAAAATCATTGAATGATAACTTCTCTAGTAATCTTCATTGTTTTGTCCTACCATCAATAACCCAAAATGTACCTACCAGATATGTTAATTTGTCAAACTTAAAAATTCCATCTAATATTTCTCTGGCAGATCCTAATTTTCACTCACCTGCTCCCGTTGACATGCTTATAGGTGCTGATGTCTTTTGGGACTTAATAGGAACGCAGAGATTAAAATTAGGGGACGGTCAGCCGATTCTTTGTGAAACTAGCTTAGGATGGTTAGTATCAGGTCCGATAGATTATAGATATGTAAAGAAAGGGGTTAACTTTATTAAATGTAATTTTACAAGAATATTTCAAGATGAGGCTAGTAAAGATTTAGATGAAGATATACAAAAACTATTAGTACGCTTCTGGCACCTCGAAGAGGTAAGCCCTGCGTCTCTTTATTCAAACGAAGAAAAATTATGCGAAGAACACTTTTTAAAAAACTCCACGCGACTGGCAAATGGTCGATTTTGCGTGAGGATACCCTTAAAACATAATCCTGACGTATTAGGTGATTCTTGGCCACGAGCTAAAAGGTGTTTACTATCGCTAGAACGCAGGTTAGCAGGTCAATCTCAGGTCTATGAAATGTATAAAGAATTTATGTCAGAGTATGAAAGTCTGGGTCATATGGAGAAATGTGAGAATGATAATTTACCACGTAAGATGCATTTTATACCACATCACGGTGTGCTTCGGGAAAGTAGTACTACTACTAAATTAAGAGTCGTTTTCAATGCTGGCAGTCCGACTTCTTCGGGTGTTTCCTTGAATAATATACAGATGGTAGGTCCCGTGGTACAGGACGACCTTTTGTCCATTCTTTTACGCTTTCGGCTACACAAATACGTTCTCACAGCTGATGTTGAGAAAATGTACCGGCAAATAGTCATTCATCCCGATGACCGCTATTTGCAACAAATTGTCTGGCGTGATAACCCTTCAGAACAGCTTCAAGCTTATCAACTTAACACCGTGACTTACGGTACCTCTAGTGCTCCCTTTTTGGCAACTAGGTGCCTCCAACAATTAGGCTTAGAGTGTACCGATGACAAGGTTGCTCAAGTGATCATTCACGATTTTTACGTTGATGACTTGCTAACGGGAGGGGATGATATTAACGAGGTTACAGATTTGCGCCGTAAAGTGACTTCCACACTTGCATCAGCTCATATGGTTTTGCGAAAGTGGAAGTCGAATGAATCTCAACTGGTTAGTGAAAATGATATTTCTCCGCTTGATTTGAATATTGGTGGCTTTGAACCGACTAAAACTTTAGGCCTTGGTTGGCAATCACATACTGACCAACTTTGTTTCCCTATAGGAGGGCTATTCTCAGGTAGAACAAAGCGTGATATGTTATCTGTGATTTCTCAGATTTTTGATCCACTAGGACTTCTATCTCCCTGTGTAATTAAGATGAAAATGCTTCTTCAACAGTTGTGGCTGCTCAAGCTGTCATGGGATGAGCAGTTGACGCCAGAAATCAGCAAGATGTGGGCTGAGATAATAGTCGATTTACCTAAATTAAATACTCTACGTATTCCACGTCGTGTTATTTGTGACTCGCCTAGTTGGTTTGAATTTCATATTTTCTCGGACGCTTCTGAGCGAGCATATGGCGCCTGTTTATATGTGCGTAGTGTTAATGATCAGGGTGAGGTTTTAATTCAATTATTGATGGCGAAAAGTCGTGTCGCGCCGCTTAAACCTATAACAATCCCAAGACTGGAACTTTGTGGTGCACTTGTTGGAGCTCGCCTTTACCAAAAGGTTGTAGCATCGCTGAGACAACAGGCTAAGCGCACTTTCTTTTGGACAGATTCGTCCATCGTGTTAGGATGGTTAAAGGTGTTACCTAGCAAGCTACAACCCTTTGTCAGAAATAGGGTTGCTGAAATATTAGAGAAGACTGGAAATTGCGAGTGGAGGCATGTCCCAACAGAGTGTAATCCGGCCGATCATATTTCTCGCGGTGTGAGTTGTAAGGATATTTCATCCATGAGTAAGTGGTGGTCAGGACCTGAATTTTTAAAGAAAGAGGTCTCTCACTGGCCTGCAAATTTCTTAAGTATTAATCACGAGTTGCCTGAGATTAAATCGTCAAATGTTATCCTCCACGGAATACTTCATTCTAGCAACAATGAAGATTTAGGTGGGAATAAATTAATTGAATTTAAACGCTTTTCTAAATATACTAGATTAAATCGGACCGTTGCTTATGTGCTGCGTTTTATTAATAATTGTAGAAAGCAATCCGTTCACGGTCCTCTAAGCAATCAAGAGTTGCAAACCGCACTCAATGTTATTATAAGAATATCCCAGAGTGAATCATTTGAGGAATACACCATGTTAATTAAAAATAAAAGTTTACCCACTAAAAGTCCGTTGCATAAATTTAATGTATTTCTCGATGATAATAAAATAATGCGTGTTGGAGGGCGTCTTGAAAATTCCGATTACTGTTATGAGAAAAAACATCCCATACTTATACAGTCCACTCATTATTTTACCAAATTGCTCTTCAATTATGAGCACATAAGGTTAATGCACGCGGGACCACAGCTAATGTTGGCCACTATAAGAGAGATGTACTGGCCGATTAGAGGTCGTAATTTGGCCAGATCTTGTTATCGACAATGTGTAAGATGTAATAGAATGAAAGGAAAAACCATCTCTCCAATAATGGGCAACCTGCCACACCAACGCATCCTTTCTGGTTTTCCATTTCAAAATATTGGACTAGACTATGCGGGACCAATTCAATCTGTTTCTCGCCATGGCCGTGGTTGTAAAATTGTAAAGGTGGTATATAGCTATTTTTATTTGCTTCGCGACTAAGTCAATTCATCTTGAATTAGTGGGTGATTTAACTAGCAATACCTTCATATTAGCTTTGCGCAGATTTATGTCTAGAAGAGGGAAACCTCTTAATATTTATTCGGATAATGGTACCTCCTTTGTAGGCGCATACAATGACATTTCAAAATTTATTAGGACGTATTGTAATTCTTTATCTGAGGTAATGGCAAATGAAGGAATTAATTTCCATTTCATACCGCCTTATTCTCCCCATTTTGCTGGGCTTGCGGAGGCTGGTGTCAAATGCATTAAATATCATTTAGTTAGAGTGCTGGGTAATTGTAATGTGACTTACGAGGAACTAAATACCACATTAATACAAATTGAGGCTATACTTAACTCCAGACCACTCACACCTTTGTCAACGAATCCTGAAGACTTGCTACCACTAACGCCCGGTCATTTTTTGGTTGGACGCCCCTTGACTTCCTTGCCGACACCAGACTATAAAGATCATTCCGTAAGCTCTTTAACCCGATTTCAACGAATAGAACAATTACGTCAACATTTTTGGGCTAGATGGAGCAAGGAATATATATCAGAGCTTCAACTGCGGATGAAATGGCGTTCCTGTAAAGGCTCTTTGAAGTTAAATTCACTGGTACTCCTAAAAGAGGAGAATTCACCGCCATTAAAGTGGAAGATGGGTCGCATCGTCGCAGTCCATCCAGGCTCGGACGGCGTATCAAGGGTGGCGGATATCAAAACATCGACTGGTATAGTTCGCCGATCATTTAGCAAAATTTGTCCGCTTCCTGAACCTGAAGAATCTGGTTGAAAGGTAGACTTTCAACGCCGGGGGGCATGTTGAAGCGCCTGTCAAATTATATTAGCAGTTCTCATGCCAATATTAGTCCGTAAGCTGTGTAGGTATGTTTAAAAAATGTTGTACCTGTCGTCGTTGTAAAATTTAGAGATCAAGTAAAGGTCGATTGAGCAAATTACAGCATTTTACTATTAAAAAGAGATCAATTTCCTATTCACCCTTAAAATGAGTAACTCTACCTTTTTATAGAATAACGGTTACAAACAAGCACACAATATACCTGATAGTAAGTGGTATACACAGAAAACTTTAATCAACTTTAAATAGTAAAGGCCATATTCAATATAAACCTTATTATAAGCACGCAATAAACACGACCTTAATTAGAATTTGTTTGTAAGAAGCCGTAATTTGTTCGATGCCTGCTGTAATGCGTAGTAACTACTATGTTCAAATGTATCTTTTAATTATAGAATATTAATAACTAAGCCGTTGCATAAAACTAGTTTTACGGATTTTATCGCGTTTAATTTTACTTATTTTTATATCCTGATTCCCGACGTCTCGGGTGCTTTGCAGCACCCACGGTCAGGGGACTGAGTTGTTCGTCGTCTCTGTGTAAAAATTAACACGGAGTACCTCCAGCTATTTAATAATTAATTTTGTTGAATTATTCGAATGATGGTATGCTTGAGTTTAATAATTAGCTTGAGATCCTGTAATTTTTAATTTTAATAATTACAGAATTTCAAGCTGGTGGTAGTACCCAGCCCACTTCTCAATTGAACTGAGGTTGTTTTTTTATTTCAATAGCCTCACGTGTCTTATTTAGTAGGAATCGATGTTCATTCGCGAAGATATGCGGCGAGATGATGCAAATCTAATGAAATAGCGGGGGCCATACATGATATGATCACAGACTGCAAACTTCCCGGAGCGTTAGTGTTTCACGTCAGCTATGCTCATGTTCAATTACGCGGGGTTTTATGTTTGACGTGTGTATGTGTATGGTGTGATGGATTATCTTACGCCGCGTCACATACAAAAATTACTTACAAATATACTCTCTTTGTGTTTATAATGTTATGCTAATGACTTTGTTTTGTTTTTTCAGATGTCTGTTATAAGAGCAATCGCGGTATTCCTCTGCGGGTTCTTGTCGTTGAAACTTTGCGGAGCACAGATTGTTTCTGTTGGAAAATGCCCTGAAGTTAAAGCTATGAGTAATTTTGACGCTAAACGGGTAAGGTCATAACAGGTTGGAGTATATTGCCGTATGTAGTTGCAATAAGGATCTTTGTTTCTACTGTTTTAACCTGTCCGGTTACATGTTATTATACTTAAGTTGTCAATTTGCAAAAAAAATTTCATAATTTTCCAATTGTTTGTTTCACTGCGTGAATATAATTTTATTTAAAATTCTTAGAAAGATGATATCTGAGCGGACCCACACGTTTGCATGGACTAAAACCTGCTATTTGTTCCGCCGTATTCCTCTGTTTACTCCCTGCTTATTGAAATTAGAGCAAATTATATTTTTACTACATGACCTATCTCTACCACTGACATGTTCATAGGTTTATTTTACATAAATTAATAACTCTAAATAAAATACTAAAACTGCCCAGTTATAACGCCGTTATATAAGACATCCGACATACATCATATGTCCTTCTTATATTGTTCTCTAAAAAATGGTAAACCGGTGATCCAGTTTTAGAGGGGGAAACAAGGTAATACGGAATGATTATTTCGTAAATTTTTCATCATTGTGATTGACGTAAATTCTCTACTACGAACGAAGCCCATGTCTTTTAGTGGTGGGTTTACGGGCTTTTAGGGATACACGATAGGTATATACAAAACAAAAACCTTGGAGTTGTATTGAAAAAAAAAACAAATGTTTCGGATTTTATCGCGTTCAATTATAACTTATATTTAAATCCCGAGGAGGTGGGGGTGATTGACCTATTAATTTTTTTCCGACCTATGCTGAACGAGCGTACATTATCTTGAAGTAATTAAGTGGTATACTTAAGTTTAGGTTCAATTTTATTAATTATGGGATCCCACACAGATGGTAGGTAGAACCTATTGCCATCTTCTCTATAAAAATTTTGATGATTTTTAATACAAACAACCTCGCGAAACATCTTAGATAAAGATCGGTATTCTTTATGTTTATATTTGTTATGTTTTATCAAATCTTGGTGGTGGTACGATTCTGAACATGTTCACATATTGCAGATTACCCGGAGCGTCGGTGCTTCATGTCTGCTATATGTTCATACGTAGGTGTTTTGATCTTTTCTTTGTCTTATGTAATGAGGAAGAATAAATAAGTATTCATTAAATTAGGTGGATTAATAAGATTAAATATGGTTTAACAGTATCGTAACATTAAGAGAAGGGCGGCCTTTAACAAGATAGAATGGTGATTTGATTGTGAAAATCAACTGTGTTAGTGTCTCATCATGACCTACGGAGGAACTTTCTGACATTCTTTGAGGGAGGCCATGATAAAGCAGTGGACCTGTTATGAACTTAATTATGATAATGCTTAATTCTTTCTTGATGTATTATCCTTTCTTACGTATTATAATGCTTAATTCTTTCTTGATGTATTATCCTTTCTTATGTACCAGTAACATTCATTGCTATGCGGACGGTAGCACTGGTGATGCTTTATACACCGGCCGTGCCAATATTTCTCGGGAAAACGTCGCCGAGTACCGGAACAAACTTGTGTCTGAAGTCGAGACTTTGTTGAACAAAGTCTCAGACTGGGGTCGACTAAATCTAGTCCAGTTCAATCCCCAGAAGACACAAGTTTGCGCGTTTACCGCTAAAAGGAACCCCTTTGTCATATCTCCTCAGTTTCAAGGCACTCCCCTTGTTGCCTCAGCCAGTATCGGGATCCTCGGTGTCGACATATCGAGTGACGTGCAGTTTCGTGGTCACTTGGAAGAGAAGGCCAAATTGGCCTCTAAAAAGCGGGACAGTATTTCATGCCGGCACACTGCTTGCAACTTTACAAGGCGCAGGTTCGGCCTCACATGGAATACTGTTCCCATCTCTGGGCAGAGGCTCCCCAGTGCCAGCTCCTTCCACTTGACCGCATCCAGCGCAGAGCGGTTCGAATTGTCGACGACCGAGTTCTTTCCGATCGGCTTGACTCACTGGCACTGCGTAGAGATGTTGCATCTATTTGCGTATTTTATCGCATCTATCACGGGGAGTGCTCTGAGGAATTGCTCGGACTAATACCAGCCGCCGAATTTCACCATCGCACATCGCGACAAAACTCGCGATACCATCCATACCATCTGGATGATTGGCGGTCCACCACTGTGCGATTTAGAAGAAGTTTTCTCCCTCGCACAACTGCCTTGTGGAATCGATTACCATCAGCGATTTTTCCGGACCGATACGACTTAGAGACCTTCAAGAAAAGAGCCTACTCCTTTTTAAAAGGCCGGCAACGCATCTGCAATTCCCCTGGTGTTACAGTTGTTTATGGGCGGCGGTAGTCACTTACCATCAGGTGAGCCGCATGCTCGTTTGCCCCATCTCCTATAAAAAAAAATTATGTATGGTGGCGATGTAAGAGATAGAGATTCTATCAAACAAGGTATATCGACACGTGGGTGTCGTAAGGGCGACTATGAGAAATGCGAGAAAGATTTTGGGATCCCCGATAGATGGCGGTATAACCATTTTGTATATTACACCAGGCGTAAATTACCCTGATAGGTGAGAAGGAGCAACGTCGGGTTCATAGATTACTGTATGTCGGGTTCTAGGATCACCAGTCAGTCTGGCAAGCATGGCAATTATGATTACTATGTACTATGTCTATGCCTAATATAGGTGAGACCCATGTCAAATAGCAGCCTGTTACTTTTATGTAAATAACAAGATAAAATGTTTATTTTGATTAATATAAAAAATATTTGCTTTTTTATTTTTAACAGTACTTAGGAAGGTGGTACGAAGCGGAAAAATATTTTGCATTTTTCGAATTGGGTGGCCGATGCATCACAGCAGATTATGGTGAAAAGAACGGCGTTATTACTGTTAGTAACAAGCAAATTAATAATATGTAAGTATATTTTTCTGTCTAATTAAAAAAATACTTCTGTTTTTAAATGGTTTTCTGGAAAAGCTTAATACAGAAAATATTCAACTTTATATAGTTACTAAAGTTTAAACTTTTATGAGAGGAGAGATGCGTTTTCAATTTAAGTAATACAAACAATTATTCTCTATCGGCCATAACGACCACCGCCATCTGTTGGTAAGAGATGCAAGCAAAGAATTCTATATGGCCCACATGTACTAATAGCAAACCAAACCACAATAACGTTCGTCGCACCATGTGATAAATTAATCTGTATAAATAAATAAAATTGAATAGTCTGCTTATAATGTAAAAATAACTGTAAACATAAATGCATATTATGTAAATATATACGGTACGGTACCTACTTATAACAAAAAATTATTTTATAAAATTTTTGTCCTTCTATCTGTTTGTTCCGGCTAATCTCCGAAATGACTGGACCGATTTTGACGGGGCTTTCATTAGAAAAAAGAATTAGGGATCCGCGCAAAAAAAAAACTTAAAGACCATGAAATTTAATCGTAATAAATTAACAGCTAGTAAATAAAAAAATAACGATAATCAATATTTTTGAGTCTGTCACTGTATCTATATATAATTAAACATAATATTTTGAAAAATAATGTTCGATTATGCAATTTAAAAAGAAGCGTTTTCCTTAGATATCCTCTAAAAATCATACATAAGCATAGCTAGCTTATGTATACGAGGAACTCGTCTTTTTTCCATACTTGATACAATTACGAGTATACACTTCTTGCAAGCGGAAATCGAACCTGCGGCCCGCAACCACTACGCAATAAAGACATAATTAATGTATTAATGTTACGTAACTTTACGTTAATATATTTCAGCACTGGAAAAAGAACCGGAATCGAAGGTTACGCTACTCTTGATAGTAACACGGGGGAGGCCAAACTCTTGGTGACTTTTCCGAAAATGCCGGTCAGCATCCCGGCACCATATTGGGTCATCGACACGGACTACGACAACTATGCCGTCGTGTGGGGCTGTATTGAATTTGGAAATGTTATTCATGGACGTTTGTATAATTTACACATAATTATTCTTTATTTATTATTATTATTTTTAGGACGACGCTCTCACAGAATACCAACGTAAAATAGCAGCTTAATACTGCTGTGTTTCGTATGGTGAGTGTAGAGAAACGAATACCCTTTTTACTGGAAAAGAGGCATTCCATCTTAGTTCTCATGGGTGACAACGCATCTGCATTTTGATTCTTTATTGAGGATAGATGTAGAAGTCTATGGGTCACAGCAACCACTTACCATCAGGTGGACTGTGTGCTCGTTTGTCACTCTATTCTAAAAAAAATATTCTTTAACACTTCTTTTTACATACCAAGTGATGGCAGCGTCATGATCTCGGTCCGTTTTCATTCAATAAATATAAAAATAAGGTGGGGTTGTGTAGCCCTTGGGCCTATTATATATGAGGTTGCTTACAGCCGTACGTGGATGGCAGTAACCACTTACCATCACGAACTATCAGCTCGTTTGTCACTTCAGTTCGTCGTTAACACCGCAAAGGTGCGAACCTCAATTTTTCAAAAAATTACAATTTTCTAATAAGTATATTTAATTTTGTGATAAAAAAAGCTAGTAATCGGTGAATAATAAATGTTTTCTTGCTCTCCTGTAATTTTTTGAAAAATTGAGGTTCACCCCTTTGCGGCGTCAACGACTAGTTGTTTTTTTTTTAAATAACCGTAACCGACATAGCCCAACGGATCTGTAAGGTGAAGTGACAATAGATCGGCTATATTGTTCTAAGATCCGACACCCAATGGGGAAAACAGTTCTCGACTGGCAGCCTACTATTAAGCGAAGTGCAGGGCCACTAGATGGAGTGACTATCTTGTATGACATACAGGGAATCGATGGATACTGCAGCTATGATAATATGGTTATGGAACGAATGGATCGGTTCGACTCGGGAAGAACCACATAAAATAGCAAATTAATGCTGCTGTGTTTCGTATGGAAAGTGTAGAGAAACCCTTATTACTGGATGTGAGGCATTCAATCTTAGTTCTTAAGGGTGACAACGCATCTGCATTTTGATTCTTATATGATAGATAGATGTCTATGGGCCATAGCATCCACTTACTATCAGATGTACTGTGTGCTCGTTTGTAACCCTTAATCTAGCTATAAAAAAACGCCCTTGTTTTGTAACAAGACTATGATGATGAATTTTGATGATAAATTTCCGGGAATTAATAAAAGTACATCATTATACAAATAGCCTCCTCAATCTTCCACTCATGATATTGTTCTGTTTTTAGGAAACGCATGGATACTTACGAGGCAACGAAACCCACCAGCGAGCGTCTTAAAGAAAGCGTATGAAGCTATAAAAGATAACAGAATCGATCAATCTCATTTCTTAAAAACAGATCAGACCAACTGTATAATTGAAGACAGTCAATAGCTTAGCAATTTATATTTATATTAGTATACGTGGTAGAGCCATGCTGCAGTTATATTAGTAGTATAGTTGTAGCACGAATGGGTCGGCTCGATCGGTAAAGGACCACGCTCTCACAGAATACCAGCGTAAAATAGTAGCATAATGCTGCTGTTTCGTATGGTGAGTGTAGAGAACCGGAGACCCTTTTTACTGGAAACGAGGCATTCCACCGTAGACCTCACGGGTGACAACGCATCTGCATTTTGATCGTAATGGAAGATAGATATAGATGTGTATGGGCCACAGCAACCTCTTACCATCAGGTGTACTGTGTGCTCGTTTGTCGCCCTATCCTACAAAAAAAAATTATGTAAAAATATTTCCACTTCTACGTCAGTAGTGCCTTACAAAAAATAATATTTTCTTAGCATTTAATATACAAAAAGAAATGAATATTATTATTATTGGATATAATAGGAGGATATGTCGTTTTTCTCTACCATAAATTGTATTATTTAGAGATTATTCAAATTAATATTAAAATACAGTTATAATTGTTACAAAGAGAATTAAATATAGTATTGTTAAAGTTCTTGACTTTTAATTATTTCAGCCAAGTAGTCCAATGATTTAGTTGCAGGGCACCTTTTCCGTCTGGGTCCTTCGCAGGGTCACAGTCTAGTAAACCACAACTAGACTGTAGTAAAGTACCATCCTAATGCCTATTTTTGCTATGCGCCTACTGTTATTAGGGTATAAAAAGGCAGTACCGTTACAGATTATAAAGCATTCCATCTTATTCATCAGCGGTAACAACCTTTTATATATATTTTATAGGCTGCAGTGATTTCATACCATGAAGTGGACTTCAAGCTACTTTTAACCATAATGTTATGAAAATTAGAATTTAATACAACTTATCGCCATAAATTAATAAAAAAATTCATTATATTATAAAACGTGTATTTTTGTACGTGGTAGAGCCATGCTGCAGCTATATTAGTAGTATAGTTGTAGCACGAATGGGTCGGCTCGACCGGAGAAGGATCACGCTCTCACAGAATACCAGCGTAAAGTAGCAGCTTAATACTGCTATGTTTCGTATGGTCAGTGTAGAGAACCGGAGATCCTTTTTACTGGAAAAGAGGCATTTCATCTTAGTCCTCACGGGTGACAACGAATCTGCATTTTGATTCGCAAACGAGGATAAATGTAGATGTCTATGGGCCACAGCAACCAGGTGGACTGTACGCTCGTCTGTCACCCTGTCCTATAAAAAAACAGTATCTAGGCTAACGAGCATTGCTCGGTCTTAAAAAAATACAAAACTAATCAAAATCGTAAGAGCCGTTTTCGCAGACTTAGTGACATATATTATAGAAGAATTCCTCACATATATGTATATATGTACATTATATTCTTTAAATGCAAAATGAAATGAACTTTAAATGCGTAATTTATAATTGCGACTGTGATCGCTCTTTCTTCAATTAAAAATCAAAATGATACAGAAAATTTGTACTAAAATAAAATACCTAATTGTCATTAAATAGGGTATCCAGTTCTCAACGCTCACCATACAAAACATAGCAGCATTGTGCTGCAAATTTTCTAAATAAATTAAGAAGGATATTACGTTGACCGGTGGCTTGTTGACCTATTTTTAACAACCATAGGACTTAAAGATTCTGGTACAAAATCGCACGGAATTATATTTTTTTCGAAGTATGTGTACGAAGGGAGAGACTTAAAATGGTTTTCACTATTCGAAAGGTCTTAGTCTAACTACTTGTACTATTGACTGCCTCGTTGGTCTAGTGGTTGTAGTAATGCGATTGCTGATCATGAGGTCCCGGGTTCGAATCCCGGGTCGGGCAAAAAAAATCAGTTATAGTTTTTCTATCAAGAAATTCTCAGTAGCTGCCCGGAGTCAGGAAGTTGGCGGTGTCTCATCCCCGTGCCTCGGAAAGCACGTAAAGCGTTGGTCCTGCGCCTGATCTCTCTCCTGTCGTATCAGTTTACCGTCCCGTTGGACTATGAGAGTGAGGGAATAGAGAGTGCACCTGTGCTTGCACATACACTTGTCACTATATATAATCCTGTACTGCGCCGATGGCTAGTCTCCGTTGACCGAAATTCGGTCTGGAGGACATTATTATTATTATTATTACTTGTACTATTATCTATTCTGTGGTCTAACATAAAATTTGCGATCATTATCACTTCGAAATATGAGAAAGTTTCCATGTGATAGCTTGAGCTCTCCGTATTATGCGATCTGATATTAAGCGTGTGTCGTGACTGTTATCAGTGTACATGGACGGGGGTGAAAAGCTGGTCATGAAATAAAAATCAAATATCTTTTTAATTTTTTTTATCAATGAAACAATGTCTATATTATTTGTAAAGTCAAGTTATTGTAAAAGCGTTTCTAATGTACATTTCATTATTAGACAAACATGATAAGAGTATCTTTCAAAAATCTGATACAAAATAAATAATAATATTGCAAGTCTTAAAATACGTATATATGGTACATTATTTTATTGAGAAAACATTTATAGACTTAGTAAAATATATTAACATAATTATAATCTGTTTTAAGATATATTTATTAATAGGTTATGTATTACATAACAAAATCGTTACCATAAAAATTTGTACATTGAAAATTTCTGAAGCTAATTTTACTTTGCTAATGTAAAAATAAATCAATGTTTTTTTTTTAATTTTTTTATATTTTCCACGTCACAAATCTAGAATCGCGTTACACTTCAATTTCTGTAACATTTTATGTTTAAATAACATAAGAATATAAAAAATATAACCATTTTTATGACAACAGCCTAAACAATGCCCATAATATGACTAAATATACTACGCAGGGGTACTATCATCAGAATGCCAACTTTTTCTATGTTCTTTGGTAGCTTCGTCGTAGGTCGGTGGAGGAGGCAAGTGGTCACTTTTGGTCTTTGCTGGCAGCTTTGCCGCGGCAGCCAGGCGATCTTCTTCCGCCTCTTCAGGTATGGATTCACGACGACGTGCGTCGAATTCAGCGAGTGCCGGTTGAGATATGTTATTGCGTTGTGTGAGCTTCGGAGCGCTGTTGGCCAACTGAAACGTAAAAAAAGGAAGTTACAATCGACTTATTATTTACTTACTTACTTATCTTCACGCACAATCCCTGACGGGGTAGCCAGAGAGAACAGATCGCCAAGTGTCACGATCCTTACATACCTCTTTCGCTTCTTTCAGATTCATTATCTTCTTCATACATGCACGTCTAGGTATCCGAGTACTCTTGACCCTACCCTCTTCGAGCAATTTGCTCACATGGTCTTCGAAAGTCAGTCTCGGTCTACCTCGACACCTTTTAATATTAACTTTCGCGTTCGCGCGCTTTTTCTTCACCATTCGGTCTTCACTCATTCGCTCAACGTGCCCAAACCACCGAAGCACGCCCTTATCAATTTTCGTGATAAAGTCATCTTTTAAACCTGCCATATTGCGAATCTCTTCGTTTCGCTTTCGGTCGGCCATGGTAACGCCGCACATTTTACGAAGAAATCGCATCTCCACTGCATTCAACTTGATTTTATGCTTCTTCTGGCATACCCAGGTTTCGCTGCCATATAACAAAGTCGGTACCAACACTGCGTTATGTATTGCAAGGCGTGCACTCTTCACCACGCCTTGCCTTTTGACTAACGCAGTCAGGGCACCATTGACTTTGTTCCCGGCAGCGACACGCCTGTCCACATCTAAATCACATCTTCCATCCCGGCTAAAAGCACTCCCCAAGTATACAATTTCAATTACTTGCTTACTTGCTACTTTAATGCCCGCAGTTCTGCCTCTGATGGTGCAATAAGCACTGCATCATCAGCATACAGCAGACAATTTACTTTAATGTCACCCAATTTCACATCCAAACAGCTATCTTTCAGCTTTTGTAAACAGCTGTCGAGATACAGTATGAACAGCCAGGAAGACATGACACAACCCTGTTTTACGCCCGTTTGGACGCTAAACATGGGTGACAGGTCATGCCCTACCCGCACACAGGCTTTACAGTCACAGTAAAGAGACTGCACAGCCCTTAGCAATCGACCATCCACACCATACCCCGGCAACAGTTCCCACATTTTCTTCCTTACAACCTTATTAAATGCTTTCTCAAGATCCACAAAAGCACAGAAAATCCTCTGGTTAGCAGCCAGAAGCTTTTCCGTGATCATGCGGAGAGAAAACATTTGATCCGTGCATCCTCTTCCAGGTCTAAATCCGCATTGTGCCTCCCATAGAAATCTTTCCGATTTCTCTTGCATCCTACGTGTCAAAACCTTCGAGTAAACTTTACTTGCTAAACTGGTCAAGCTGATCACCCGATAGCATCCGCAGTCAAAATGTAAACCTTTACCTTTATATAAAGGCACAATGACTGCGGATCGCCAATCATCCGGGACATCCCCCGTCCGCCAGCACAAATTGCACAGCAGATGAAAGCTGTCCCAGACACGAGGCCCACCATACTTGACCATTTCAGCAGTAACTCTGTCTAGTCCCGCAGCCTTACCACATTTCAAACTTCGAATCGCACGTTCAATCTCTTTCATACTGATGACCTCAGTGTCATCGAGGTCCGGGTCTGGCGTACCAGTCACGGCGTCATCCCCGGATCCCTCACTAAGATCATCAACAATCGACTTATTAGATGATTTATTAATCAAAGCCAAAGAAAGATTACAAGACTTACACAAAAATAATTTCACCGATTGTGGTGATTCTAGCAACATGAATTGTATTTGTACCTAAACAGCTTCTGTATTTCCCTTTGGTTTTTCTTATTACGTTTTATAATTATAATGTTGCGGATTCACATTGTATCGGTTTGTTTAATTCGGGTTTCTAATATAGTTTAGCCGTATACGTTCATAAATATAAAGGCTTATAAAGGCATTTAAAAGTTTTGTGTGTCGGTCTTATGATACACTTGCGCGCTGCGTGTTGTACAAAAAAGCGAACCGTGTGAATTCTTCGTGATATTCTAACATACACCGCTCGCGGTTTTTATTATTTATCTCTATATATATATGTATAAGGTATTCTCATCTGGTTGGGCTGAATAGATATATAAGAGTAAATAATAAATGTACATAAATATGTATTAAATAATACATAAATAAATAAAAGCCCTACCAGATGGAAGTCCCCGGTAGGGGAGATAAAACGGCCGAGCGTTAAGGAACAAAGGGAAATAAACCGGTGGTTGATGCGGGCGGTATCGAGGAGCACCGCCTTCTGCATTTGAGTCTGGAGCGTTTGGTCACGGAGTCCCAGTCGTCTCAGATGAGCCGAGAGGCTGATCGGGATTAGTCCGTTCGCAGAGACGACTACTGGAATAATTTCGGTCGGCAGACCACCCCACATGTCGGTCACCTCGCGAGTTAGGTCCAGATATTTTGTTTTCTTATCTGTTTCGGCTTTCACGAGGTTCTCGTCATACGGAATGCTAATCTCGACCAAAAATATCCTTGACTGTGCCCGGTCAATCAGCACAATATCAGGCTTATTCGCAAGAATAGTCC